ATGGCTGCCCCATGGGGTCAAAGATCCTGCCCCCATGTGGACACAAGGTGACCACCACAAGATGGCCAGCAGAGGAGAGCAGTTGGGAGGGACCAGGCCTACAAGGGAGGGCAGTTGGGTGTGATCAAGCCTGCAGGGAAAGACAGTTAGGAGTGACCAGGCCGGCAGAGGAGGGAAGATGGGGGCAAACAGGCTGGCAGGGGAGCAATTAGACATCAATCGGCTGGCAGGGGAGTGGTTAGATATCAATCAGGCTGGCAGGGGAGTGGTTAGGGGGTGATCAGGCTGGCAGGCAAAAGCAGTTAGGGGCAATCAAAAGGCAGGCAGATGAGCAATTGGGAGCCAGCAGTTCTGGATTGTGAGAGGGATATCTGACTGCCCTCAAGGCGTCCCAGATTGGAGAGGATGCAGGCTGGGCTGAGGAACACACACACCACCACCACCACCACCACCACCACCACCACCACCACCACCACCACCCCGTGCATGAATTTCATGCACTGGGCCTCTAGTTATAAATAAGTATATAAGAAATGGGCGAGAGGATGACAAAATTGTCATTATGTAGCTGTCATTTGGTATTCTATATAGAAAGTCCAAATCATTAAAACTCATAAGATATTCATCAAATTGGCAAAATAAAAGATAAAATTGGCAGCCTAGCTGGTTTGGCTCAGTGAACAGAGCATCAGCCTGTGGACTAAAGGGTCCCAGGTTCGATTCCAGTCAAGGGCACTTGCCTTGTTGTAGGCTTGCTCCCAGTAGGGGGCGTGCAGGAGGCGACCAATCACTGATTCTCTCTCAGTGATGTTTCTATCTCTCCCTCTCCCTTCCTCTCTGAAATCAATAAAAAATATTTTTTTAAAAAAAGATAAAATTGGGGCTGAAATCGGTTTGGCTCAGTGGATAGAGCGCCGGCTTGGGGACTGAAGGGTCCAGGGTTCGATTCCAGTCAAGGGCATGTACCTTGGTTGCGGGCATATCCCCAGTAGGGGGTGTGCAAGAGGCAGCTGATCGATGACTCTCTGTTATCGATATTTCTAACTCTCTATCTCTCTCCCTTCCTCTCTGTACAAAATCAATAAAATATATTTAGGGAAAAAAAAAAGATAAAATTGGCAAAACAAATTACATCCCTCTATATAATAATAAACAACAAGAAACTCTAACAAAATATAAGATTCTATTCAGAATAGTAACAAAAGTTTAAAATAATCTAGGGCACTGGCAGAATGCTTGCTCAGTGGTTTGAGCGACAACCTGTGCATCGAAGAACCAGTGTTCGATTCCTGATCAAGGGCACATTCCTGGGTTGCAGGTTTGATCCCCTGCACTGAGTGAGGCATGTGTGGGAGGCAACCAATTGATGTGTGTGTGTCTCTCTCTTTCTCCATTTTGAATTTGTTTTTGTGTATGGTGTGAGTTGGTGGTCTAGTTTTTTGTGTGTTTTTTTTTTTTTTTGGGGGGGGGGGTTTGTGTGGTTTTTTTTTCTGCCTTTATCTGTCCAATTTTCCCAACACCATTTATTGAAGAGACTGTCTTAACTCCATTGTGTACTCTTGACTCTTTTGTCAAATATTAATTGAGCATAATGACATGGGTCGATTTCTGGAGTCTCTGTTCTGTTCCACTGGTCTACACGTCTGTTCTTGAGCCAGTACCTGCACCCTCTACATCCCTTTCTCCCTGAGAGTTGTCAGTCCACTCCCTTTCCAATTTAATAAAAGATGTCTCTTCTACCTAAATCAATCTATAAATTCAATGCAAGCCCAAATTCCAGATTTTTTTTTTTTTAGAAACACAAAAATGAGTTCAAAAATGCATGTGGAAGAGTTAAGACCCACAAATAGAAAAGAATGGCAAAAGAGAGATTTCCTGAATTGGATAAGATATACTAAAAAGCCACAGTTAAAAAGAGAAAGCAGCCAAAACCGGTTTGGCTCAATAGATAGAGCTGAAAGGTCCCGGGTTCGATTCCGGTCAAGGGCATGTATCTTGGTTGCGGGCACATCCCCAGTAGGGGGTGTGCAAGAGGCAGCTGATTGATGACTCTCTCTCATCGATGTTTCTAACTCTCTATCCCTCTCTCTCCCCCTTGTAAAAAAATCAATAAAATATATAAAAAATAAAAAATAAATAAAAAAAGAAAGCAAATATATAAGAGAGAAACATCAATCAGCTGCCTCCTCCACATCCTCTACTTGTGATGTGCCTGCAACCAAGGTACATGCCTTTGACTGGAATCGAACCTGGGACCCTTGAGTCTGCAGGCTGACGCTCTATCCACTGAGCCAAACCGGTCAGGGCCCAACAAGCATTCTTGATAAGGTCTGAGTCTCCCTGACAGGTAGCCAGTTGCCAGGCACCGGCTTTCCTCTGAGAGTGAAACAACCTCCCAGGGGGCCTGTGAGTCAGTTCCCTGGAGTTTAGGCACAGAATCCATAGGACTTCCCCTGTTCTATTCTCCCTCCTGACTTCCGAGACCACTCAGAAGAAGCCAAGTGAAAAGACCCAAAACTTTGACATTTATGAGCTTGAAGGTCTTGAGCCACTCACTGACCTGATGAAGAGCTGTTTCCTCATTCTTTCAAGGGAATGGCATTTTAGAGGAGAGGGGTGTCGGGAAACACGGTTAAAAAAAAAAGTGATGGGATTAAGAAGTACTAATTGGTAGTTATAAAATAGGCATGAGGTGTAAGGTAGAGCCAGGGAATATAGCGAATATAGTTGTGAGAATAAACAAGTAATCTTTTCGGTCAAAGCAGGGAGTTTAGGAAGACATCATTTTGGCCTGTGTGACTTACAGCTTCCCTGGGGCCACCATTTTGAGATGGTAAAGGTCAACCTCTCCCTTTTCCTTTAAATTAGCCAATCGTACAAGAATGTGAGCCTAAGTTCTGACCAATCAAGAATGAGGGACACATCCTAGCTGGTTTGGCTCCATAGATAGAGCATTGGCCTGTGGGCTGAAGGGCTCAGGATTTAATTCCAGTCAAGGGCACATGCCTGGATTTCAGGCTCCATCCCCAGTGTGGGGTGTGCAAGAGGCATCCAATCAGTGATTCTATCTCATTATTGATGTTTCTATCTCTTTTTCCCTTCCCTTCCACTCTGAAGTCAATAAAAATATTTTTTTTTTAAAGAGTGAGGGACAGGTGAGGTGGGTGGGAAATAAAGCCCCCACCCCAGCCCATAGTGTGGGAGTTGCCAGGCCCTGTGCGGGCTCACCCTCCTGCAGGAGTGAAGCTATTTGCCTTGCTGTTTGGGTTCCCAGTATCCTTTGTGTCCTACCAGGAACCTTGGTTCAGGGGCTCGCCTTATTTTTAACATAGTTAATAATACTGTAATAACTATTTATGGTGCCAGGTAGGCAATTGAATTAGCAGAGGGAACACTTTTTAATCTATTTAAATATCTATCGTTATGCTGTACACCTAAAACTAATATTTTTAATAGAAAAATAAAATTAAGCATAAATAAAATAAAACAAATGTGATGGCATTTTTACTTATTGGTTTCAGAGAGGAAGGGAGAGGGAGAGATAGAAACATCAATAATGAGAATCACTGATTAGCTGTGGAATGCCATTTTTAATCGTGTTTTTGTTTTCTAATTTAAAAACCTGCCTTTGATTCTTGCCTTGTCGTTTATAGTTCTGGACCTGGACTTCATTCCGCTAGGCGTCATCTATAAAATGGGGCCTTTGCAAAGATTTAATGATGCCAAGCATGCAAAGCACAAGTTGTACATTAAGCCCTCTCCACTCCCAAACCCTCAGTCGAAGTTTCTATCGTGGGAGACGGGGGTAGTCCAGGGTATGAGTGCTGACTGCGGAGGTCGAGGACACCATAGCTGGAGAAGGCCAAGGTGGCTATGTTGTCCCCAGGGGCAGTAAATACATCCTCCCAGCCCCATCCTACCCTCTGAGGCCTCACCATTGGCCTGACTCAGAAACAGAGATTCGTGGGCTGCCTCCGGCTGTGCGGTCGAGCGCGGACTACATTTCCCCGCGTGCACTTCGGCACCCCTCCCCCCACCCCGCCCCGCGCACGCGGCCGTCCCGCGGGGACCGCATCCTTCCTCGGTTAAGAGGCTTGAGGCAGTAACCATCATTACGCAGCTCCTACTCTTCGCTTTGCGAAGGGCGTCCGTCACCAACCACCCCACCTTGGACCCGGCCCCGGCAGGGCCTGTGAGGTCCCCAGTGCTTTTGCTCTCCTTCCGGCGTCCGGATACCGGGTCCCAGGGAGCACCCGAAGTCAAATTTATCTCCCCCGGAGGCTTCCTTCGACCCACGAAATCCCCACAGCGGCCCGCGGCTGGCTAGGGGTTCTGGGGGATAAGGGACTGGGGCGGGCCTCGAAGCCCCGCAGCGGGAGACTACAACTCCCAGGCGGCACCGCGGCGGCGGCGGCACGTCACTCAGGCACCGCCCACGGCCCAGGGAAGCGGCGCGGGCGGGGCTGGGGGCGGGGAAGCGGGCGCGGGCGGGGTGGTGGCCGGGGGACCCAGAGGCAGGTGCAAAAGATGGGGTCCGCCGGGCCACCCCGCGCGTGAGGAAGCCTAGGGGCGCGCCACCCCGTCCCGGGCGGGGCGGGCGCCCCACGGGCCCCGCCACTCCCGCCCCGCCCGGCAGTTGTGGCCCGGGATGCGGAGCCGGGGGCCGCCGGTGGTGCTTCGCGGGGTGAGAGGCGCCGGGGAGGGGGCTGCCTGCTGCCCTCGCCCTCGTCCCCCACCGGCGGGCCCCGGAAGGAATTCGGGAGCCCGGCGGCTAGGCCTTCTGAGCGCCCTGACGTTTGAGGGGGACCGGCGAGCCCGCCGCCTCACCCCCGCCCTCCTGCACAGCTGAATCAGAGCGGCTTCTTCCTGCTGCTGCGGAGGCCCCAGCCATGGCCCTCAGGAGACCCCCAGCCCCCGCGGGGACTGCCCCCCGCCCCGGCCGCCCGGGCCTGCCCTCTGCATCCCGCGGGCAGCCCGTGTGAGCGGCCCCCGCCCTCCCCATGGAGGAAGCGGAGGGGGGCGCGGCGGCTGAGGAGTGGGGCACCACCCCCGCGGGGCCCGTCTGGACCGCCGTGTTCGACTACGAGGCGACGGGCGACGAGGAGCTGACCCTGCGGAGGGGCGACCGCGTCCAGGTGCTTTCCCAGGACTGTGCGGTGTCGGGCGACGAGGGCTGGTGGACCGGGCAGCTCCCCAGCGGCCGCGTGGGCGTCTTCCCCAGCAACTACGTGGCCCCCGCCGCCCCCGCCGCCCCGGCCAGCCTCCAGCTGCCCCAGGAGATCCCCTTCCACGAGCTGCGGCTGGAGGAGATCATCGGTGTAGGGGGCTTTGGCAAGGTCTACCGGGCCCTATGGCGTGGCGAGGAGGTGGCCGTCAAGGCCGCCAGGCTGGACCCTGAGCAGGACCCGGCAGTGACCGCAGAGCAGGTGCGCCAGGAGGCCCGGCTCTTCGGAGCTCTTCAGCACCCCAACATCATCGCCCTCAGGGGCGCCTGCCTCAGCCCCCCACACCTCTGCCTGGTGATGGAGTATGCCAGGGGAGGCGCACTGAGCAGGGTGCTGGCAGGTCGCCGGGTGCCCCCTCATGTACTGGTCAACTGGGCTGTGCAGGTGGCCCGGGGCATGAACTACCTACACAATGATGCCCCTGTGCCCATCATCCACCGGGACCTCAAGTCCATCAACAGTAAGTGGAGTCATCCCCCCACACCTGCTTCCATAGAACTGTAGGAGGCCAAGGCTAGGTGGTGGGGAATGGGAATACCAGCAAACTCCGCCGGGGACAAGAGGGGCAGCAATAAAACTTCAGAGCGGGTGAGGCAGGCCTTGCCCCATTAAGGGAGGAAAGGGTGGCTCAGAAAGGTTGCAGGACTCCCTGCCTCCCAGGCTAGAGTTATCTGTAAACACTGTGACAGACCCTGCATTCCCAGTGTGAACAGGAATGCCCTCAAGGCACCCCTGCCCAACCAGGACACCAGAATCCACCTGAGAACCTGGCCTGGAGTGGCACTATTGCCGGACGTCTGGGGAGGGTAACCATAGGTCAGTCTTGTGTGTGGTAGGTTGTTTAGCAGCCTCGTTGGTCTCTACCCACTAGGCATTCCTCACTCTAACCCCACCTCCAGTTGTGATGAGCAAAAATGTCTCCAGACATGGCCAAGTGCCCCCTGGGGGCAAAATTGCTTCTACTGGAGTCCTATGCTGGTCCTGCTAGCTGAGGCAAACTGGAAAAGATGAGGAAGGAGGAAAAGAAATGTGCCTTATGTAAAAGCTTCCGGGCTGCCAGGCCAATCACAGGCTCTCAAAAGTTGATTGGTTGTTGAATGAGGACCGAGGCCTGGGAGAAGGGAAGGTTCCCAAGGACCCACATCTAGATCAAGGAGCTTCTCGTGATGTCAGCAAATATTAACTGAGCACCTATCATGTAGGAGCAAAGCAGGGGCGAAGTTGGTCATGATTTCTGCCCTAATAATACCTACAAACAAGAGATTTCACTCATTCCCAGATATTTCTGGAGCACCTGTTGTATGCTAGAGCTTGTTGTGGGTTTTAAGGATACAGCAGGAGCAAAATCCTACCTACTCTCCTATCTTCCTCCATCCCTTCTCACTTTCTTTCACTTCTGCATTTATTTATTCATTTATTCTTTAGTTTGGTGTCTACTGGGCTGGTTCATATGCTAAGCTAGAGGGATCAATGAGAAATGAGCATATTCCCTGCCCTCACATAAACTGTGAAGGTTCCCCTTGACCCTCACATGTCATCTATTTATATCCCTGTCAATTCTACATCTTGAAATGTGTTTGAATCCATCCCACTATTTTTTACAAGTTTGTTGCTATGCCCCCACCACCACCTAGAACAGAGAGGTGAGTCTTCCTTACCTCCCAGGCCTGGCATTCATAGACTCAACAGAGAGCTACCAAGGCTCAAGGTGTGCCAAGCCCTGAACCATGGCTGGGGGATGAAGCAAGACATAGATGTCCCTGCCTTCATAGATGCTCATGCTCTACTCCTCTGAAAAGCTGGGTAAATGGAGGCAGGACTCCGGGCATGCTCCTCTTGAAGACTAGGGTACCTTCTAGTTCTTCCTCACCCCTGCTGATTTCACAGCCCGCAGCGGGGCATAGACACCACTCCCACACCCCCAAGTCTTTGTGCAGCCAGTGCCACCGAACAGAGGGTTGGTGAGACTCTAGGCCAGGACTTCCTGCTCCGGCAATGGGCCTGCTCCATGCCTGGGACAGAGGATACAGGGACTCCAGCACAGCTTCCCCCAGTCATCCTTCCCTGAGGAACTCCTCATCCAATGTATCGCACCCATTAGTTCTTTCAATCAATAATTCTTAAGCAGAATTAAGCATACTAGGCACTGTCCGAGGTCGGGGATTACAGAAGTGAACAAGGCAAGATTCCCCCCTTGTGGAAGTTACAGTCTAGTGAACAGAAATAAGTGATTGATATTTATAAAATTTTGAAAATATTTTTATTTCAGAGAGGAAGGGAGAGGGAGAGCGAGAAACATCAATGATGAAAGAGAATGATTGATTGGCTGCCACCTGCATGTCCCCTACTGGGGCTCAAGCCCACAACCTGGGCATGTGCCCTGACCGTGTCCTCCTGGTTTATAGGTCAATGTTCAATCACTGACTCATACCAGTGATTGGTAGTTAGATAAAATTTCAGAGTACCCAGCTCTGAAGGAAATAAGGCAGATTAAGGATGGGGCAGAGAGAGCTCTCAGCTGGTCAAGGAAGGCAACATTTGAACAGAGACCTGAACCAAAAGGATCCAGTCTTACAAAGATGTGGGTAGGGCAGAGGACATGTGGAGGGAAAGAGTGAGCCTTGTTAGAGAGACTGCAAGACCCTAGGAGTTGCAAGAGTAGGAGTGAGGCAAAGGTGGAAAGGTAGGCAGGGGCCAGATCCTGTTGACCTCAGGGCTATGGTGAAGACTTTGGGCATTTTATTCAATGTAGTGGGTGCCATTAGAAGGTTTTTTTGTTTTGTTTTTTAATATATTTTATTGATTTTTCACAGAGAGGAAGGGAGAGGGATAGAAAGTCAGAAACATCGATGAGAGAAACATCGATCAGCGCCTCTTGCACACCCCCTACCGGGGATGATGCCTGCAACCAAGGTACATGCCCTTGACTGGAATCGATCCCGGGACCCTTGAGTCCGCAGGCTGACACTCTATCCACTGAGCCAAACTGGTTTCGGCCATTAGAAGGTTTTAAGCAGGAGAATGACATGATCAGATATATATAGATATATATATTTTCTTTTTTAAAATTAAATTATTATCTGTGTACATATTTTACCATTGCCCCCTCAGATATATTTTTTTAAAGGGAACTGATTTAGGCTCAGCCTGGAAGGTACAAAAATGAAGTGTATGACCATGGGGTTGTTCCCTGTCACAGGATTACTCCACAAACAGGAGTGATGGGGACCCAAGAAGGGAGTATTTCTAGCAGTTGGAGTCACAGGCTAGAGAGTCAGGTGGAGCAGCATTTGAATGAGGCTTTAAAACATTGACAAGATTACCAACTATGAAACCTTGGGAAATGTACTGATCTCTCTAACCCCCAGTTTCTTTCATCTGCCAAATGGATATGATGGTAGAATTACCTCATTGTTATTGTGACCGGAGAAGTAACTAAGAAGGGTCAAAGGTAAAGGTGGAGAAATAAGAAACAATTATGGTGGCATCACACTCCAACAGTAATAGCTAACACTCTTAAAGGACCTACTGTTGCTTCAGGCAATAAATCTTTGCTATAATCCTATAAGGTAAATACTATTAATATTATCACCTCCATATAAGAGAGGAGAAATCTTAGTGTTAATAAAAATAAATTATACAAGGTTATGCAGCTAATAAGTGGCAGAGCTGTAATTCCAACCCAGGACATCCACTACACTTTGGGGCCTTTGTTTGATAGAAGGTAGTAGAACATCAGAGCAGTTAAAAGATGGGGCTTTGATGACACATCTGGGCTTTACCTCACCATTTCTAAGCTGTGTGATCTTGGCCAAGTGACCTCATTGCTCTGAGCTTTGGTTTGCTAGTCAGCAAAATGGGTTGCTTGCTAGTTAATTTATGTAAATGAATATAATGAAATGAATATAAGTGAAACACTTCATTCTTGGGGTGCTTAGCACTGTGCCTGCCACATAGTAGTGTCCTGATAACCACCAGCCATGATGATTCTTATTAGTATTGACGGTAGGCAGCAAGTAAGTTGGAATCATTCGGTATGCTTGGGAATATGTCAGATTTTGTCACAAGACTGTTGTGTAACAAACCACCCCAAAAACTCAGTGTCTTCAAACTCCCTGTCTTTTATTACTGCTCATGCATTAGCAGGCCGGCTGGAGGGTAACGATGTAGGCAGCAGCATCTGGAGAGGCTTTGCACTGAGTACCTCTCATCTTCCTTGGATCAGCAAGGCATGTTCTGCTGATGGCAGAAGTGCAAGAGGGCAAGCCGGCACTTCTCTTAAGGCCTAGGCGTGGCACCCTCACCTCCGCCTCACTCTACTGGCTACAGCAAGTCATATGGCCAGCCCAGAGGAAGGATGGGGAGATGTACTCTTCGTCTTTAGTGGAAAGGTTTGTGAAGTCATGTGGCAGAGTATGCACAGAAGGGAGTAGAATTGGGGCCATGAGTGCAGTGACCACAGGGATGACAAAGACAAAGGAAACCTCATTCATCCCTTTGGCTCGTGGTTTGTACTTCTACTTCTGGGAGGTTGGGAATTCAAGGCCTGGACCAAGGCGAACCAAGGTCTTGGCCATCGACCTTTTACTGAGCTTCCCAGCGTCCAGGTTGGAGTCGGGTACTCCTGGAAGCTGTAGGGATGAGACCGGCCACTTGAGATGAGGGGACAGAAAACAAATAAAAAGCAGTCCCGCTGAGGCAGGGCCAGGACATGCAGTCTGCAGCCCACCAGATCTGGTGACCCCTTCTTCTTATTCCGCAGTCCTCATTCTGGAGGCCATCGAGAACCACAACCTCGCGGACACGGTGCTCAAGATCACGGACTTCGGCCTCGCCCGAGAGTGGCACAAGACCACCAAAATGAGCGCTGCAGGGACTTACGCCTGGATGGCCCCCGAGGTTATTCGTCTCTCCCTCTTCTCCAAAAGCAGTGACGTCTGGAGGTGCTGATGGGGCTTGGGAGGCCTCTTGGAAATGGGGGAGTGAGCAGGGGTGAGGGCAGAGTTGGAGGGACAGTCTCCCACTGAAGCCAGGTTCTGGGCCTGGCAAAGTACTGGCCACGTCAGACCAGTAGACAGGCAGCAAAGCAGGTCTCTGCTCTGATAGCAAAAGTGGCAGCTGAGGAGGACTTGAGTTGCACAAAGCAAAGATGTAGAGATTGGATGTTGTGAGCAGTAACGGCCCTTCAGACACCATCCATCACACAGCCCCCACTTGTCACACAGGAAGTGGAGGCCTTTGGAGACAGCCATTCATGCATGCGCCCATCCGTGCACCTGCGCTGGGTGCCAGGGATACAGCAGAAATAAAAGCAGGCACATTCCCTGCCTGCAGGGATAGTAAACAAGTACACAAGAAGCTGGAAAAGGCTGTTTTTAAGAAAATTGTAAAGTAATATTAAAAGATAAGTTAATTCACCAGAAGAAGTATTAGGTAGCATTATGAGCCAGGAGGTTGACGGAAAAGAGTTCTGAAGGCTGGAGGCCTATTGCAGAAGGCTTTTATGAAAAGTGATAACTGAGCTGCATCCTGGATGACAAGACAGAGCCAACTGTGCAGAGTTTGGGGGAAGAAGCTTCCCTGGCAGAGGGAACAGCTCACACAGAGGAGGTGCTGCGGTGAAAAGATTAGCGGAACCAGAAACAGCTACGAGGACCTGCGTGGTTGGCTAGAGCAGACAGGAGAAAAGTGGTAGGAAATGACGAACAAGAGCTGGAGGGCTTCTCAGATGAGGCACCAGACTTGGGTTTTATTCTAAGCGTGATGGGGCGCCATCAGAGGCATTTGTGAATGATGTGGCTGCCTCCAGTGTAGGGTGGGAATAGATTGTAGGGGAAGGAATGGGAGTGAGAGGCCAGTGAGGAGGCGTTGCCATCACCAACAAGACTTGGTGGTGGCAGCAAAGTTCTTTAACCCAGGCATTCATTTGTGGTCCCAGACATTTAGCAGAGCCACGTTTCAGTGGCGAGGAACAGAGACCAAAAAATAAAAACAAGGCTGAAGTTTTTGCTGTCATGTGAAGCCAAGACTGATACAGTGTTAGAGATCCAGGGTCCTATATCAGGATTCCTTAATGGGTGTCATTGACACCAACAAGATGATTCTTGCTTGTGTACTCCTCTCCTGTACTTTTCAGGACAAAGGTGTCCATGGTTCGAAGCAGCCCAACCTCAGTAGCTCTCCCCAGTCACTGTGACAGGCAAACCTATGTCCCACAGGTTTCCAGGGACATAGGAAGGTGGAGGGTCATACTGCCTCTAATTTAAGCCACTCTGATGTTCCTCCACCTTGCATGGCCTCCATTCCCAAGTTCACTTCATGGTCCAAAATAGCTTCTTGAGCTCCAGCTTTTGTGTCCTCATTCCAATCAGTAGAAAGGAGAAGCGATGAGGGGCACCTCTTCCCTTAAAGGACACTTCCTGGAAGTTAGTTGCACACTACACACCCCCTGCATCCCTCTGGCAGTACCGATGCCATGCTGACATAATGAGCTGCAACAGAAGATGAGAAATTATCTCAGGCAGCAAATGCCCAGCACAAATTCACCAGCACTGCGGCCGAGAGAGAAGGGGAGGCTGTCAGCTGCATGTGGGCAGGGGTCGCGTCTATCTTGTTCCAGCGCCTAGAACGGTGTCTGGCACACTGGGCACCTCATAGGGGTATGTTGAATGAATGCACATGTGGATATGGGGGACATGTAGGCCCTGCACACAGCAGTGGTCACGATCCAGAGGAGCTTCCTGGAGAGGATGGGCATGCAGGTGGTTGCACAGAGATGCACGCTCTGGAGCTGTGGAGCATGAAGGACATTGCTGCGGGCACCGGGCAAGCCTGAGGCTGCGTGTGGCTCTACTGCTCACTGCTGTGTGACTGGGTGAGCAGCTTAACCTCTCTGCTCATCAGATAAAGTGGGGTCATTGCTGAGCACCTAGGACAGTGCTAGCCTTAGGAAGTACTTTATAAATGGTCAGGAGTGTTAACTTGTTGTTGTTGTTTTTTTTTTTTTTTTATAAAATATATTTTTATTGATTTTACACAGAGAGGAATTGAGAGGGACAGAGAGTTAGAAACGTCGATGAGAGAGAAACACCGACCAGCTGCCTCTTGCACACCCCCCACTGGGGATGTGCCCGCAACCAAGGTACATGCCCTTGACCGGAATCGAACCCGGGACCTTTCAGTCTGCAGGCCTATGCTCTATCCACTGAGCCAAACCAGTCCTGGCAGGAGTGTTAACTTGTTTTTATGGGCAAGTGCCAGAGGGTCTCTGGGAGCACAGAGGAGGGACCTCCAGCCCAGCTTTGGGGGCTGTGGAATCAAAAAAGGCTTCCTGGGAGAGAGAGTGCCTGAGTGGAGACACAGGGACAGTACACAAAGGGAAAAGTGTTCCTGACAAAGGGAACAGCCTGTGCAAAGGCCAGATGTTAGGAAGAACAGGGCCTGTTCAACTGGTGCGGCTGCAGGATGAAGCGGAGGTAGATGTGTAGGCTGAGAGTGCTTACAGGGGAGGCTGCAGCGGTCACTGAAAGTCAGGGCTAAGGAGGGTGGATTTGCTCAGTGGGCATGGGGACCCGCTGAAGGTTTCCAGGCAGGGGCAAGGGGAGAGAGCAAAAGCAAGACACCAGAGAGCAACCTCAGCACATCTATTTGAGATCAGGGCAGTGGAGGTCAAATTAGGTGGTTGTGGCCTCTTTGGCCAGGCTGGATGTTGGGGTGAGGGGGCGCGCCAGGGAACTGGAGGCAGGGCTGGGTATAAGTGAGGATTGGGGTGGATTGTGGCATCACCCCTTCCTCTCCCCACCTGCAGCTTCGGGGTGCTGCTCTGGGAGCTGCTGACGGGTGAGGTCCCCTACCGTGAAATCGACGCCTTGGCTGTGGCATATGGCGTGGCTATGAACAAGCTGACACTGCCCATCCCCTCCACGTGCCCCGAGCCCTTTGCCCGCCTCCTGGAGGGTGAGCCAGGGCCCCGTGGAGAGGGAAGGTTCAGTTGGGTGGCAGGGGCCCGTGGGTCCAGACCTCGTCCCTTCACACCCCCTCTATAGCAATCGGCCCAGGAGTGAGAGAGAAGGGGCTGGACCTTCAAATAATGACTCCCGCACAGTTGGCTCCATGGACCCCGACCCTTACTCTGGCCAGGCCCACAGTTCTTGAGGGCAGTCTGTTAGAATTCATTGGCCCTAGGATCCTTCCCTGATCCCTGATCCTGCCAGCAGCCAGAGATCAGTCCCAGAGTTTCAGAGTGAAATATTGCCAGGAGTTTGGGTTTGAATGTCTTCCCCTCAGCTCTGTGAAAGCTGTCTGTGTTCAGTCCCTTCAAGTCCTGCCTGTCACTGAGCAGGCTGATGCCCCAGAGCATGACCACTGACATCTCCACTCCCACCCCAGAGTGCTGGGACCCAGACCCCCACGGGCGGCCAGACTTCGGCAGCATCTTGAAGCGGCTTGAAGTCATAGAGCAGTCAGCCCTGTTCCAGATGCCGCTGGAGTCCTTCCACTCACTGCAGGAGGACTGGAAGCTGGAGATCCAGCACATGTTCAATGATCTCCGCACCAAGGAGAAGGTGAAGGCAGGGGGCAAGGTGGGAGGGAAGGACAACGCCTTGGGGGGGGGGGGGGTAGAGTCCCTTCCCGAGCTGGGGCCCAGGGACCCTTTTTTGTCTAAGAAAAGACAGCCCTGTGAGGATTAATAGGTAAAAGGCACCCTGTCCCGAAGCGATATTACCTGAAATCTGGGATTAGTTTTAAATACTACAGCAAAATGAGGAGAGGTGAGAAGGAAGGGGAAGATTTGCAAGGTACAGATAATTGTTGGGTGATGGGCGCATGAGGATGTTTGAAGTTTTCCTAATTGAAGGGTTAAAAAATTAAAAATCAAAAAGAAAAAAAAAATTCTTTCTTTGGGCTAACACTGACCCCAGCTCTGGCACCTAACTTCTGTGCCCCCAATTTGCTCACACAGTAGGACACTCGGCAGGGCCCCAGCCAGACCCCTCAGCCCTAGGTTCAAGCCCCTCCCTCAGCCCTGTCTCCTCTCCAGGAGCTCCGCAGCCGTGAGGAGGAGCTTCTGCGGGCGGCCCAGGAGCAGCGCTGCCAGGAGGAGCAGCTGCGGCGGCGAGAGCAGGAGCTGGCGCAGCGCGAGATGGACATCGTGGAGCGGGAGCTGCACCTGCTGATGTGCCAACTGAGCCAGGAAAAGCCCCGTGTCCGCAGGCGCAAGGGCAACTTCAGGCGCACCCGCCTTCTCAAGCTGCGGGAAGGCGGCAGCCACATCAGCCTGCCCTCGGGTACTCCTGTCTGCCAGCTGGGAGCGTCCCTAACCCAGAGCTTAGCGCTTCATTTTTCTTTACTTTTTAAAATATCTTTAAAATGTATTTTTTTATTGATTTCAGAGCGGGAGAGTAAGAGAGAGAAACATCGATGATGAGAGATAATCATTGATTCGTTGCCTCCTGCACACCCCCTACTGGGGATTGAGCCCACAACCTGGGCATGTGCCCTTGACCAGAATCAAACCCAGGACCCTGTCTGCAGATGCTGTATCCATTGAGCCTAACCAGCTAGGGCTTTTAAAAAAATATTTTTAATGCTAAATATCACACACACGCACACACACACACACACACATACACACAACCACCAAAAACTGTACAGCTTGAAGCATTATATAATCACCCCCCTGGAAGCAGAAACCCTATAGCCACCCAGGTGCCCTCCACGTGCCCCCTCCAATGCCCTGCAGCCCCTGAGAGTAGCTCATCTTGACTTTCAGGGCAGTCACTTCCTTACTTTTTAGTTTTGTCTCCCAACTATTTGCTCATTATCTTTTACTCTGCCTTTTTCCTCCTTGCCAACAGTTTGTTGAGGCTACATCATTTATCCTGTAGCATTTCCCACAGTTTAGATTTTGCTGCTTGAATTGCCTGGGTTTCACTCACATATCCCTCTATCTCCTGAATTGGTATTAGGTTAAACCAGTGGTCGGCAAACTGCGGCTTGAGAGCCACCTCTTTGACCCCTTGAGTGTGGCTCTTCCACAAAATACCACGTGCAGTCACGCATGTACAGTAGCCCATGCGCAGAAGTCGGTTTTCGGCCTGGGCGAGTCTATTTTGAAGAAGTGGCGTTAGAACACTCAAGGGGCCAAAGAGCTGCATGTGGCTCTCGAGCCACAGTTTGCCAACCACTGGGTTAAGCCATGTGACATTGCTGATGTTCAGCCATTTTTTTATCTACAAACAGGTTTCACATGGATCTCAAGGCTTAATTAGTTTCATGTTTAAGTTTGATTTTTTTTCTTTCTTCAAAGACTGCTTCCTGGGTGACACCAGAGGCTCATTATACTGTTTGTCTCTCTGAGATGTTACAGTCACAGTAACTAGAACAGCACCAGCTCATAAAAATGCAAGCCACATGTGTGATTTTAAATTTTTTTAATAGCTACATTAAGAAAGGGAAAGAGCCTGGCCAATGTGGCTCAGTGGTGAATATCAACCTATGAACCAAAGGGTCACATTTGGATTCCGGGTCAGGGCACATGCCAGGATTGCAGGCTCTATTTTCAGTTGGGAGCATGCAGGAGGCAGCCAATCAATGATTCTTTTTCATCATTGATGTTTCTATCTCTCCCTCTCCCTTCCTCTCTGAAATAAAAAAAATTATACACACATACACACATGGGAAAGAGAAGTAAAATTTTAATAATATATTTTATTTAGCTCAATATACCTAAAATGTTATGGTTTCATGTGTAACAAATACAACAAAGACTTCTTTTTTCCTTACTAAATCTATGAAATCCAGTATGTATTATATATTTACAGTGCATCTCAATCCAAGGGCTGAATTTTCATAAAAAATACTTGACCTGTATTTAGGCTTCATAAAATGTTGAAAAAGCAGATTTATACACCAAATTTGTTCCATACATGCTTGTTTCTAATGAACAAATTTGCACATTCACCTTTAAAAGTAAACTTATGTTAATTACAGTTAAATAAAGGTAAAACTCTCCAGATCCTCAGTTGTACAAGCCACCTTTCAAGTGCTCAGTTGCCACATGTGGCTGATGGCCACCAGAGTGGACACTCAGGCCTCGGATCTCAGTGTGGGCAGCGGCTCTCAAACCTGGGTGTGTATCAGGGGTCCCAGGCGCTTGTTCCTCCAGTTAGATCGATGCGCCTTCCCTGAAGGCTGCTATACAGGGGGGTGCCAGGAACCTGCATTTCAGTCTGCTTCCACTCAGTGCTGATGCTGCGAGTCTGGGAGCCAACTTGGAGAACCACTGCTACTGAACACAACCGGTGGCACTGCTTCTGAGCCTCCAGATTAGAATCCAGAGGGAACTGCCCTCTGTACAGGGAACTGCTCGGGGACCCATGGAACCGTCTGCTTAGGGAAGTTTCTGTTTTGCAGGCTTTGAGCACAAGATCACAGTCCAGGCCTCTCCAACCTCGGACAGGCGGAAAGGTTCCGATGGGACCAGCCCCCCCGCAAGCCCCAGCATCATCCCCCGGCTGAGGGCCATTCGCTGTGAGTATCTCCCGAGGCCCTGACCAGCCCACCAGTCAGCAGACTTCTCTGAGTACATTCCTTGCCCCAGCAGGGAATGAGACAGGGTCCCCTCCCTCATTCTCATGGGGGAGAAACAGACAACACATCAGCAAGCAGACAGGGTCACTCTTTTAGGGATAAACACTGTAAAGGAAATCAGGGAAGGGAATAAAAGAGAAGAGTTGCATTTTGTATCAGGAGGGTCTGATTGAGGCGCCGGAGTTTGAGCAGAGACCTAAGTGGTAAGGAGCAAGAGAGACACGCAGAGATCTGGAGGGAGAGTGTCCCTGGCAGAGGGAGCAGCAACGACAGAGTTCCGGCGGCGGGAACAAGCGTGGCATGTGTGTAGGCCCAAAGGTCACAGGCTGGAGTGGAGTGACGGGTGCAGAGCAGTGGCTGTGTCAGGGGCTCAACAGCGGCCAGATGATGCTGGGCCTGGAGAGCTGGATGAAGCACCTAGATTTCATTTTAAAGGTGACAGGGAGCGCGGGAGGCTATGAGCAAGGCAGCACTGTGGTAAAGCATACCTTTCCCTCTGGGTGCCATGGGGGTGTGGATGAGAAGAGGGCAGGAGACAAGTGAGATGATGGGGCTGAACCAGGGCCTTGGAGGGAGAGAGGTCACAGTAGGGGCTGCCTGGCAGAGGTGTAGCGCATGGGTCTGCTGATGAATTGGAGGATATAGGGCTGACTCCCGACTCTGTTCTGCCCATCATTCACCCCCAGCCTTGCCCCACAGTCTCTCCTGCACACCTCTGTGTAAGCACCAGCTTTGTACCAGGCCTGGAGTCATTCTCATGGGGGACACAAGACAAACGACAGCCATGCAGGGGAGTCGGTACTGGTGTCAGGGTGCATCCACAGAGTGTGGTAGGAACAGAGAAGATGCAGCCTTCTAACTCTCGGGAACAAATTACTACAGAGCTGGAGGCTTGAAGGGCAAGCAGCCAACACCGTCAGGAAGGGACTGAAAAGGCACAGAATTCCCGGTGAAGGGAACAGCCTGTGCAAAGGCATGGAGGTGTGAAAGCACCCTCCCCCCCACCCCTCCCGGGGATCTCTGCACACGGGGTTCCAACCGTGGCACTTACACCCGCTGCCTGCATGTCTCCACTCCAGCGCTCCTCCTCCCTCCCTCCACACCAGCCACTCTGGCCTCTGGCTGTCCTGTGACAGTCCGTGCTGTCCGTCTCAGGGTCTTGGCATTTGCTGTTCCCTCTGCCTGAAATGCTCCTCTCCCTGTGTCTTCTTGACTCACTCACCTGGTCTTTGCTCAGACGTTCCTCCCACGTGAAGCCTTCCCAGCCACCAGGCCCTTTCCCCCATCACTTCCCGCAGCACCTGCCACCTCACAGGTGACTTACCTGAGGGGAGTCTCACTGACCCCCGGCCGGGGTTGTCTGTGCTGTCCACTCCTTCTTTACAGCACCTGCCACAGGTCTTGGCAGAACAGGTGCCCAGGAAACATTTGAGACTGAGTGGATGACTGAAGGGTTAGGCTGAGAGGAGTGATGGAAACGGGGCTGAGGAAGTAAGCTGGCAATAACACGAAGGGCCTTGAATGCTGCTGAGGAGCTGGGCTGTCCTCGGCAGTGGGGCGCTATGAGAGGATTTCCAGCAGAGAAGGGTCATGGTTGGAGTTAGAATCCAAGATCCTCTGAGCTTCCAGGTGGATGATGAATCCCAGGTGAGGAAAGTAAAGCTGGGAACCCAGTGGGGACAGACATTCCAAGGCCCAGTAACCAAGTGGCTTTTCTCGCCCAGTGACTCCTGTGGACGGCGGTGGCGGCAGCAGCGGCAGCAGTAGCAGTGGCGGTGGTACCTGGGGCCGCAGCGGGCCCCCAAAGAAGGAAGAACTGGTTGGGGGCAAGAAGAAAGGCCGGACGTGGGGACCCAGCTCCACCCTACAGAAGGAGCAGGCGGAGGAAGAAAGGTATCCGTGGCTGGAGCCACCCCGTGCCCCACCCCCAGGCCCATGGCCACGAGAAGGCCCTCCACCCACCCCAGCTCTGTTCCCCTGCAGGCTGAAGGCCCTAGGGGAAGGAAGCAAACTGTGGTCATCCAGCGCCCCCAACCTGGGCAAGTCCCCCAAACACACCCCCATTGCCCCAGGCTTCGCCAGCCTCAATGAGATGGGTAAGAGGATGAGGGAGCCTTCGGGGGGTGAGGGGAGGACAGTCCCTGGCCGAAGGGGACACTGCCAAGACAAAGGGGTCCGTTCCCCTGGTTTGGGGAGGGAGGGATTTCACTGGGCCCGAGTGTAGAACGCGTTCCCAGAAGGGGGCGGCCCGCGCCTGGAGTGTGGGCATCACTGCCAGGGTCAGGGGGCTTCCGGGAAGTAGAACCGAAAGCCATGCTTGGCGGACTTGGTGGGCTTGCTGTTTGAGGGATCGTTGGGGGCAGACCCTTGCCTCCAAGTCCCCAGGGACCGCGTGGAGTCCAGTGCGGGCCCTCTCCGGTTGCAGAGGAGTTCGCGGAGGCAGACGGAAGCAGCAGCGGGCCCCACTCCCCCCACAGCACCCTGGCCTACCTCGAGGCGCCGCTGCCCCCCCAGCCCTCCCCTGGGGCGCCGCTGCCCCCCACACCCACCCGGTCCGCGCTCAGCGCCCGGCGCAGGCGCTGCGAGTTGGCGCTGCTGGGCTGTGCCTCGCTGCTGGGCGCCGTGGGCCTGGGCGCTGATGTGGCGGAGGCTCGGGCAGCGGAAGGCGAGGAGCAGCGGCGGTGGCTGGACGGCCTCTTCCACCGCGCCGGCCGCTTCCCCCGCGGCCTCAGCCCCACGGCACGCTCCCCTGGACGCCCCAACGCAGCCTCCGGCCCGGGCCTGGCGCCCTCGGCCACCCTGGTGTCGCTGTCCTCCGTGTCGGACTGCAACTCCACGCGCTCACTGCTGCACTCCGACAGTGACGAGGCCGCGCCAGCAGCACCATCCCCGACACCCTCCCCTCTTGCGCCCTCGCCCAACACCAACCCCCTGGTGGACCTGGAGCTGGAGAGTTTCAAGAAGGACCCCCGCCAGTCACTGACGCCCACCCACGTCACAGTCACTGCCTCGCGCGCTGTGAACCGTGGGCACCGGAGGACCCCGTCGGATGGGGCGCTAGGGCAGCGGGGGGCGCCAGAGCCCACAGGCCCCGGCCCTGGTGAGTGAGGCACCCCGTGCCAGGTGTGCAGAAAACGGCCCTGCCCTGCCCTTTCAGGGTCCAGGGTCCCAGGCCAGCTCCACCCCTAAGGTGCCAAGGTGGCTGTCTCCTGCTTAGCAGGGGGAGGGAGGGGCCGTGTCCCGGCCCTCACTGCTAGAGGCATTGTGGGCCCTGTGACTGACACAGGATGAAGCAGGGGTGCAAACTCTAATGGCCACAGGGGGCAAGCCGGCGGCATTAGTGACAGCAATAACCCGAGCTCACACAAAATTCACAGCCAGGCCACGCCCAGGCCCTGTTCTCTGTGCCTTTGTTGACCCACAGAGATGCTGGAAACAAAAGGCCTTAGGGACCGCCCAGCAGGCCGAGCTGTTGGCCATTGTTATTCTCTGTCTTGCTCTCCCCCCCCTCCCCCCTTACTGGCAGGTGCCGTTGCCCCACTTAGAGATGCTGTCAGGCCTCTCCTTAGCCCAGCGTGAGAGATTAGGAGGGATGAGGGCTTTTCTCCCACAGATTTTTTGAGAAAAGTCAGAAATTCCAGTTTTCATGTCAATGCTCCTGGCTCTTCAGTGCCACCTCTCGGCTCCCCCTCACTCACCCCCTCTGATCCTCTCTTACCAGGCCCTCGAGATCCCCTGGACTTCCCCCGCCTGCCTAAACCCCAGGCTCTGTTTCACACACACCTGCAGCCCCCCGAGTTTCCTGGCCGCCCCACCACCCTGACCTTCACCCCAAGACCCCGGCCTGCTGCCAGCCGCCCCTGCCTGGACCCCTGGAAGCGGGTCTCCTTCGGCCGAACATGCAGCATCTCGCCTCCCAGCAGGCTGGACACTCAGGAGAGCCCCGGGCGCCCCAGCATGCAGCCCACTCTGCTCGACATGGACATGGAGGGGCAGAGCCAGGACGGCACAGTGCCCCTGTGCGGGGCCCACGGCTCCCGCTGACCTGCCCGCTGCCGCCTGCCTGGGCAGCGTGAATGTAGTCCCCCAGGCTCTGCCCCCGCACAGGCAGGGAGGCCCTGGGAGGGATACTCTATTTATTGGGGAAGGGGATGGGAGAACACTTAATTTATTCCTTTGTGCCCTGTGCTCGCCCTGCAGCATGGGGGAGGGGGCAGGGATACTCAGGGACAGGGCCATGAGGGGATTCGGCACAAAGCGCAGCATTAAAAGTGACCCCTGCCCCCGCCATGCTTGCTGTGTATCTTTCCCTAATCCCGGCTCATCCCCAACGGGTGGCCCCCGCACCCTTGCTTCCTCCTAGGCCCCTCTGGATTCTGAGGTCCAGAGGGTGAGGCCCAAGCCTATGTCCCCTCCCTGGTTCCCACAAGAACACACACACAGAGGTTATGATAAGTGCTTTACCGGCCAACACATGAGTCAGGGAAGTTACACAGGGAGGTGGGGGGGGGGGCAGTCCCCATGGGTGGCCTCAGCCAATGACATCCCGAGGCTGGGCCCCGCTGTCTTCCCTCTGCAGGCTGCACCGGCTCATCTTCAGCTGGGTCAGCTGGATGTAGCGTAGGACGTTGGTGTCTGCAGGGACAATGGACAGGGCATTATCTGGGTGTCCTGGTGACGTCTGTAGCACCTCAGGTCATACCTCACTGTCCCCAGCCTTCAGTGGCTCCCCAGCTGGTATTGCCAGACAGACCCCTTCTTTAGGGGTATGTCCACCTCCAGAATAGCTTTGCCGTTCCCCTGCCAGGAATGCTGGCTCAGAAGTTCCGGTTATTCTCTGCTTACCCTCCAGCAGCACCTGCACAAAGCCTGTCCTCCAAACCCTTTACCTGCCTCCACTCCACAGCCCAGGTCATGCAGGTGGGGCTCCTCTCACTGGTTCTTAATACAAAATCTCATATTCTCTCTACACCCCAACACACCCAGAGGGCAAGGAGCAAGTCTCCAGTCCTGCCATCCCTGTCCCACCCCCAGCCAATGTCCTGCCAACTCCCCCTCCCCCCAAGCGTCTGACTCCTAGCAAGTGCTTCACAAGTGGTGGCTGGGAGAACTCGTGGATGGCAGGTGGGTGTGGCGGTGGGTCAGTGAGGGACTGGATGGATGAATATGTGTTGGGGGGGCATGGAGTGAGTGCATAGGGAAATGGGCTAAATGGGAAGCATCAAAGTGAGTCGATAAATAGATGAGAGGGGGTGGGTGAGTATAAAGGAAGCATGGGTGGGTGGGTGAGAGGGTGAGCAGGAGGAGGTGGAGAGGGGGAGGTGGGGTGTGCAGCACTCTCTTGAAGTAGCTGTGCCCTGGCCTTCCTGCCTTGTTTGTTCTGTCCCAGCCCCTCTCTCTGCTCCACCCAGTCGCCACCCGCTCACCTGTGGGCTCCCTGTTCCGGGCCTCCTGCAGGTAGCGCAACGCACGCGCATAGTCACCCAGATGGTAGAAGGCAATGCCAGCGCGGTAGGTGGCCTTGAAGTTGCCCTGCTGCCTCTCCAGCACCTTGAGACAGTACTCGCGCACCCGCTCATAGTTCACCAGCTCCGACTGCAACAGGCAGGCTGCGGGCCCAGGACCGGAGCTCTCAGAGCCTGCCGGCAACCCCAGATTTCACACCCCCGAGGAGCATGCTGTCAGGCTGCGAGGGAACCCCCGCCCTTCCGCACGGCTGAGCGGGCCTCAGGGCTTTCTCAGGCCAGCAGGGGCTGCCGAGCCTCTGGCCAATCAGAATGGAACCAACCTGCACTGCCGCTAGAGGGTGTGAAAACCAGGCTAGAGCTCAGGCTATTTTCGGAGGGGGGAGGAGGAGGAGAGTGGTGTAACTGAGGCTACCTCAGGTGAGGGATGAGGCTTTAAATGGTGCATCCAGGGCAAGGCTTTCTCACCTGAGGTTCACGGTGGCAGCCCAAAGCCCATTTCCTGCATCCCAGCTCCTTCCATCCCCGTGGTCCCCTACATCCCCAAGCCCTCTCTTTGGTAAGTTCTGTTGTCTCCCACTCCCCCGCACAGACCCCAGCGCCGGTCCCTTCAAGGCTCCGCTCCCCCCGCCCCGCCCAAGGCTTCAAGACTGCCCCACGCTCCCACCCTCTGCGCCCCCGACGGCGGCCGCATACCCGTGAGAGAGTCATAGCACTCCACCTCCGTGTTCTCCACCAGGCGCCGCTGCTCCTCGCTGAGGCGGGTGGGCCCCGGGCTGGTGGGGGGCCCGGGGGCGGGGGTGGGCAGGCTCCCGGGGCGGGACCCCTGCGCCGCCTTCAGCTGCAGCAGCGCGCGATGGTACTTGCCAATGGCTTCCCGGAACTTCTTCTCTCGGTAACAGCGCTGACCCTCCGCCTTAAACGCCACGGCGGCCCGAAGGCTGCTATCGAGCGCCGCGCCCAGGCCCCCCGACGATTCCGGGGCAGGACCTGGCCGAGCGGAGCCATGACGGGGACCCGGGCCCGGCGGGGAGAGCGCGGGAGGTGGACGCGGTGGAGGCTCCGGGGCTGCGCTGAGCATCAGCACCGGGGACAGCGCGCCGCGCTGCATTGTGGGAAACTCCTGCAGACCGCTGCTGCAGCTACGGGGCGCGGGCCTGTCCCCACCCTTTCTCCGCCCCTCACCTCCGGTGGCCGACTCCGGCTGCCCCCTATGGGTCTAGAGAAACCCCTCAAGACTTCCCCACTCTTTCCTTCAAATCAGCCCCAGCCTCGTTCTCCAGCCCACCTTTTCCTCCTCTCCACTCACCTCACTCCCCTATCCGTCTGTCAGCTCTCCTTCCTCTCCTGCCCAAAGCTCCCAAAGCTTTCTAGAAGGAAAGGGTACATCTGGGGAAAAGAAAAGGAAGATTTCTATCTCGGGAAAGCTGGTTTTCAGCCCACTAGGCATTTGCCTTGTTGGATAAGGAAGCTGCCCAGATTCAGTTCCTGGGGTTTTCCTCGCTAGTTACATTTGACTTGGACAGATCACCTAAATTTCCTGGGATTCTATATCCTCCTCGGTAGCATGGAAGGGACAATGATAGCACCTTTGAAATTCATTTATCGATGCAACAACAAATACTCATTGATATCTTTTTGTGCCAAGCTTTGGGCTGGGCAATGCTGGGATGTAGCAGGGAAGGAGGAAACTATCCTCATGGAGCCCCTAGTCCTGTGAGGAGACAAACCAGTAGCCAGTGACAGCCCAGAGTGGGCTAGCCTGGGAAGCTTGGGCAAAGGGGTCAGGGCAGGCAGCGCGTCCAAGCCCCGGAGAGAGGACACAACAGGCTCTGAGGGCCCCGAGGAGGTGTCTGCTCTGACTGTAGTGTGAGTGAAGACAAGATTGGTCGTGAATCAATGGGTCTTCCAGAGGAGGGGCTCCTATGAACAAGAGAGATCTGCTTCTCGCCCTCATGGAGCTCACTGAGTAGAAAAACCAGTGGGAATGCAGGTGGCAGGCCAGAGTGAGTGGTGCAAGCAAAAGAATGAACAGAAAATAAAGCGTGTGAGAACCTTTGGGAAGAAAATCTGAGGCTGAAGGAGATGGCTGTCCTTCCGCTCTCCTTAGCCATTCACTCAGCAGTGGGGCCTTGGGCAAGCTCCTCACTCTGCCTCCACCTCGCCTTCCTTCTGTGTAACGTGAGGATTTCAAATGAGCTTGCTTCAGAGTAGTTGCAGGGACTGAATTTTGCAGACAAAAGCACTTAGCACAAGGCCTGGTACATACTGGGCAACTAACAACCTGTGTTTCTTATCGTGGGACTATGAGATAGGGGAGCATAAGTGTCCGGCTTTGAGTCAGCATTTTTATTGGTTGTTGAATGAATGAATAACTTTATTATTACACTCCACCCCCACAAGACCCTCGCTTGGTCCTCAGCCCCAAGAGCCAAGCTTGTGTTTCCATTGTCCCTTTCCCCTCCCACCCCACATCTCCCCCAGGATTCCCAAATCTGAAAAAGGCACCTTCCATTCCAACAGCTGCATCTGCTTTTATCTCTTACTGTACTTTGCTGAGTGAGGCTCTCCCCCATCCGGTCCAACCTTGACCATCTTAGGACAGAAACTTCTCTTCCCTGCACCTTCAAAACCTGGCTTGGCTAAGAATCTAATATTCCTGCAGTTGAATTCCAGTGCAGTGAAGTCATCTGTCTGTATCTCAGGTGTGTTTTGTTTTAATTAAAAACATGGCGATCCATTGATTCATAACAAATATTTTCTGATTACCTACTGCATGACTAGGTGCCAGGGGTTTGGTAGAAGCAGGGCCACTGCCACCAGCTCACAGTCCTGCTCCGATGCAATGCCACACTTCCACAGTGCCTACGAGGTGCAAGCAATGTCCTAACACTGTGTGAATATATTAACTTACAATCTACATACACTGCAATGATGTTAAGTAAATCAGATCCCACTTATAAAACTCTTGCTATCAAAGACCAATAAAGCCACAGATGACCCTCACAGGCGATGTGTTGGGCTTGTGCAATCATTAAAAAATATTGAATGAGTTGCCAACAGAGGAAAGCAGAGATATTTAAGGAATTGCAGGTTTTCAGCTTCACTTGAACAAAATCTGAAAACCTGGTAACATCTAGGTAGAATCCATGACTGGGGCAAACATTCTGTTTCCCACAGCCCATCCCTCCTAGGTTCTTCCCAACTCTGAGGCCGAGGGCCATCAGGCTGCATTGGAATTTTCCTCGTAGCCTCCCTGTCCAGCTATCTGTCTCCACAAATGTTGGCGCTTGGGATCCCAGTTTGATCCTGCTGAGCCGTCCGGGCGGAAGCCCACCACTGCCCCCACGTGGAAGAGTTCGTAATTTTCATCGTTAAGGAAATTAGTGATGAGGCCCGGAAAGTAACCAATCAAAAGCAAGAGATGGACCAGAATTTGACCAATAAGGACAGAGAGCGCTCGGCATAAAAGAAACTCTTTTATTGAAGTGGGAGACAGACACACATTGAGTCTTTTTTGACGGGTTTCGGGGCTCAGGGGGGTCCCGGCTGGGGACAGCAGAGCAGGCGGGCAGCAAAGAAGCTGGTGCCCCTGCGCTGTGGCCTCGCATACTTGAGGAAGATGGCAGCACGGCCGGGTGCGGGGCCTCGGAGCACCGCGCGGGCCATGCACGGCTCCAGCGGGTCCAACTCCGCGGGGCTGCGGAGGAAAGACGGAGAGACCAAGATGGGTGCAGGGGGTGGCGGTGGAAATTACCTGTCCTTGGAGCTGGGCTGGAGGCGGAGAAGACACATTGACTTGGGTCCCCGGAAACCTCCCAGGGCACGTGGCCCATCATCTAGACTAGAAAGGGACTGGAGGGGCCGGCAGACTCTGATTCTCCCCACAGGGCGCAGTGAGAGCGCCAGGGCCATTGAGGGGGGAGGCCTGGGGCTGAAGATGGACTGGCACCCAGTTCTCCCCGCGAACAGACAATTCGCCCAGCCCCTTGACGGCAGGGATAGGGGCTCTAGCAGCTAACGGGACACCTCATTTGCGGTTAGTGGCTAGCAGACCTCTCATTCTCCGCCCTGAAGCACAGCTAGAGCATCTTCTGGGCTTGGGGAGATCCTATATTACACCCTAGACAAGATTAAGGGTCTCCAAATCTGGACAATACCCCACTCTCTCAGACCCGCCCAGAGAAAAGCAAATGGGATAACCCAAGGCTAGGCAGATACCCCATTCTCTCTTGTACCCAGAAAAATCTAGTCTAGGTGTCATCGTGCCCTCCCCTCAATAATTCCTTCCCACTCTCTGAGACAGTTAAGAGAACGATCAGGAAGGCAGATCCTGAAGCCACCGCCGGGGGCAGGGAGGACCCTCCACGGTGGCCTTACCTGTAAAGTGCCGGCTCCACTCCGGAGCCCGCCACGTGGAGCACACGGTGCGCCAGGCTCAGCGCCGCAGCTGCGCAGCGACCGGGCTCCCACCCAGCTGCCTCGACCTCCAGCAGAGACAGCTCCAGGAAGTAGGTGGCAAGGAGCGTCACCTGCCAAAGCATCATCACCCGCGGATCGCCCGGCCACGCCCCCAGCCGCGCAGGCCACGCCCCTGCTCCCCTCCCCCCGCACCTGGGGGTCGCTCCCGGCCAGAGCGGCCAGCAGCTCCAGGCAGAGGAGTGGACCTGGGTGGTGCAGGCGGAAGTCCAAGCGGCTCAGGATGCGGCGCTCGGCTCGCAGCAGCTCGGCCTGGGAGAAGGAGCCAGCGCCCAGCAGGCAGAGGGAGGCGGGCTGCGGGTTGGGGAGAAAGAGGTGGGGGAATCTTGGACCTTTGCTGTTACTCCCTGCCCTGGGTTCGGGTCCGTCCCCATTCTGGACCTCAGTTTTCTGGTCTGTAAAATGGGACCATCGATGTGTTGTGTTGAAGTCTTGGGGAATATAGGCTTCAGAGTCAGAAAGACCTGGATTCGAGTTCAAACCCTACCACTTCCGCACTGTGTGACCTGGACATTCAGGGCGCTCTGAGACTCAGTTTCTTTATCTGTAAAACGGGGATATCACTCCTTCTTCACCAGGCAGTGGTGGTACTGCACTGAGTTCACACGCATTAACTGTAGCTACTCGTTAAGGGTTATAACTACCGTAACTAAGTCCAAGTCCCAACTACTCGACTTTGGGCAAATGCCTTCCTCTCTCTGGGTCTTAGTCTCCTGTTAAAAGGACAGACTGGCAGCCCCGAACTCATCAGATCTACTGGGATTCCAAGACAGTGGGAAGTGTTTGTGAGGAAGGTGCTGGGCACACAGCAGTCCAGCCTGTGCCCGCGGCCGGGAGGAAGAGCGCCCTCTCCTGGCCCCGCCCGGAAGTACCTCAGGAAGCACGCACTCTTCCATTTTGCAGGCCACGAACAGGCAGGCCATGCCCAGCAGCTGCAGGCGGTGGAGGCGCACCCGGCTGGAGCGCAGGTAGGAATCGAGCAGGTGCACGGCCAGGTAGAGCGTGTCCCCCGCCAGGCCCAGGTACTCCTGGGGAGGGGCGCCGGTTACAGTCAGGCTGCCACGCGGGCCCAGCCCCACCCCCTTCTTGGTACCTACGTACATGCACCTGGACCAGCCAGTCCACCACGAGTGCGCGCATCTCTGGGGTCACGGTGCGGGGCAGGGTCATCTGGGGCAGCGCGGGGCACACCTGGGGTCAGGTAGGGAGGCCTGACTCTCCACACCTGTGCCTCCGCCTCTCCTAACGCCAGCCCTGGGTGCTGTGGCCTCCTCACACCAGGGGGAGCCAGGTGAGTGCCTCCAGCGCCTCCTGCGCTCCTCGTCCGTCACCATCTAGAACCCGGGACTCTCTCCTGATGTTTCCCTATCCGCCCTCCCAGTCCAGCCCCCTGCCACAGCACCTCCCCCTGCTCCCCAGGCAAATCCACCCTCAGAACACCTGTTTCCTAAGTAGAAGCCGGACCAGGGAACTCCCAGCTGACAGCACTTCCTTGGCTTCCAGGACCCTCAGACTCTCCCAGGCCCTGTCCTTGCTCCAACATCACCTCTTCCCTCTCTCTCCTCACACCCCAGCTGCCCCCGGCTCTGGACTGTGCCAACCGTATCCCTTCCTCAATACCTGTGCATATGT